GCAAGAACTACTTCACAGTTCGGGCGGCTAGGAGCTGGAACCAACTTCCTAGGGAAGTGGTGCTGGCTCCTACCCTGGGGATCTTTAAGAAGAGGCTTGATGACTACCTGGCTGGACTCATTTGAGTCCAGTCTTTTCTCCCGCCCAGGCGGGGGGTCGGACTTGAAGATCTACAAAGTCCCTTCTGACCCTGCTTCTGTGATTCTATGAACCAGTTCAACAGCCTGATGACTTTAAATTAAGAACGCTTCGTTATCATTTAATAACTGCCTTGAGGAATTATATGGTTTACAATGCATACAAACAACCCTAATACAGGTCATGACATGGAAACTGTATGCATTCCTTTTTAAATTGTAGATGTTAAAATACCGATAAGGGTACATGGATTTTTGTTGCTGTATATGTGGAAAGAGAAGGTTCTATATGGGGGGCCGCAGATGAAGAGATCAGTAGAGGTGCTCCTCAAAAAGGATAAAGAGGGAGTGTGCACATAAGGAACAACAGCACAGCATGGAGTCCCTGTGAGTTTTTTAAAGAGCAAGTTTTATTCCCAACCCTTGGTGGAAACAAGTGACACAAACTGCCTGCCACCTCCCCGCCCCATCTCACCACAGACTGAGCCTGGTGCACTTTCAAGACTGGTTCAGCATCCTCATCTTTTCTTCCCCTTGTTAATTGTAACATCTGCTTCCTGTACTTGCTCATGATCAGTTCCAAAGCATCTTGGTGTTCCTCCAAGGAGATCCACAATTCTGCAACATACAAAACAAATGTTATGAAGAAATCATAACTGCTGCAGAAGGATTTCTTTTGCCAGACACAGACTTAAGAAAGGCAAGTTCACAACTGATCTTCAGTGTTTTGCTTACTGATCACCAACGCAATTTACAATAAGCAGTCTCAGTCTTCAACCAACTCAATTTCCCTGAAACTAGAACCTCACCTTTACCGGTACCTAGACGCAATGAAAGCCATGTGTTGCACTATGCTGCAACTTACTGCAATTTTTTGGCCTAGTGGCTCTAAAATTTTATTTATACAGCAAACAACTCATTTCATTTGACAGAACTGAATCATTTTCACAGCAAATGGGCAAAGTTATTCCCGTTGCTGCTCAAATCACTCAAGTATGTCCAAAGCCACGTGCACCTACGTTTCCTTCAGAATCGAGCTCCACCCAGAAGCTTTACTGGAGGAAATCTTTCTTCTGACAGCAGAGTGACAGCTAAGCAAGTTCCAGACTTTGACTGGCTTGCCCTGGCTGTTCTTTCAACTGCTTGACATATGAACTGTGAGAAACTCCTGTGTAATTACGATTTGGGATGGAAGGCAGAGCCCACATCATCGGGTGGTGGTGGCAACCTGTGTGTACAGCCCCGCGCAAGGTGGGCAAGTGCTTAAATGTGTCAGCATCACCCCCCTTCCTAAAGGTTAGGCGCCAGGGCCGGGCGCAGCACACAACTCACCTCTGTTTTCCTGCTGCAAGTCCCGGATTTGGGTGTTCTCTTGGGAAAGCAGGAGGTGCGGCTTGAGCTTAGACACATCTTTCACGTTGGCGGCCTCATCGTGAGCCTGGTAAGACGGAGGGATGTGGTTACGGGCAGGAAGGGGGCCGGTGGCTCCTGCCAGCCTGCCACCACCCGCACTCACCTGCTTGGCTCCCGCCGACCCCGCCTGCCTCATGGCGGCCACGCGCCTGTGCAGGGCGGCCGACTGGTCGATGAGCGACTCGGCCGCGCTGTCGTGGTCGCGGAGCCGGTCCAGCAACGTCCGCGCGTCCGTCAGGATCTTCTCGATCGTGCAGCTCATCGCGAGCGCGACCTGCAGGGAGTGAGCACAGGTGTGAGCGCGCCA